TCCAAATAACCATACCAATAAATTACAATGTGTTATTGTATCATTTTTTATTTTAGTTTTATAAAATTTTCAGTTTCATAGATGGCTCAACAAGTGCTCAGCCTCTGAGAGTCAATTAGTAGGCCTGCATAACCTCACCTGATTTCCTTTTTCTTTGTTTTTAAGGAAAGTGTTTATTTTTCTAATGCTATTAACTCCTTGGATCTGTGTGCTTCGTTGACAGAACATGGGTCAAATACACACATTAGGCTTACTTGAGTGGCCATTCGGTGAGGTGTGCTGACCAGGTGCATGGACGGTAATAAAATTCTATGCCTCCACTTTGTAATGTTATTATCTCTTTCTGTATAAGCATTTCCCCCCTTTTTTCCATTTTCTAATGTCTATATTTGTCATTTGATATGTTGTATCCATACAGTAATATACTATTTTCCTTACATAGACTCCATATCATCTCTCTAGGTAGCCCAGAAAAGAAAAAACAGTATTTATGTATTCATCCATTTTGATTACTGATATTGCCATACATACTTTCTTCATGAAGGATAGCAAGGTCCTTTGATGTTATTTCACATACTTTTGCTTAGCTTAACCTAATGCAGCTGGGGATGGCATTTATGCACATGCCACGTCCACTGTGATTTCACTTAATCAATTGTAATTATACATAGATAACATAGGGTTTACAAGGGCTTTGTCACCAAGGAGGCAACTACTAGTGCTACCTATCTAACTGGTTTCCCCTTGGATATCAATGCATGTAGCCTGAGACTTGGGCATTAGGCTTACTTGAGTAGCAACTCTCATGGGCGAGTGGCTTGTCCTCTTTGCAATATCATAATCACTTTTTCTGCATACATGTTTTTTGTTTTTGTTTTTTGCCATTTTCTGATGATCATATTTGTCATTTGATGTTATATGAAGATGATAATAGACTATTTTTCTTACACAGACCCTATACATCTCCCTAAGTAGTCCATAACTCAAGGGAATAATAACAACAATAAGTACCATTTTGTTATATGAGGCTAGCAAGAATAGGATCCTGATCATAGAAATATTTTCCTTCCTGGAACTGGTGCTTTTCAGTCATGGCTCACGGACTGTACACTCCACACTGGTTTTCTGATAGGAATATTGCAAAGAGCCCCTTGCTAAGTGCCCACCGAGTCTAATCACCCTCATCAGGAATTCAAGCCAAAATTCTTGTGATGGCAACTTCCGTCACCCTGGCCCTCAGCCAAATTTCTCCATGACGGTATCTTCAAGTTATCCTCAATTTAAGCCAGTTTTTTTCATGACATGATGGTCATGTCATCCAGATGGTAGGGGATAATTTTTTAAGAAATTCTTTTTATTTTTTATTGCTATTAGTATTGCTTGTAAGATAATAATCATAATGTCAATGATAATAATAAAAACAATATCAATATTAAGAGAAAAAAAAAGTAAATCCTAGAAATGGGGAAATCAGGCGAGGTCATGTAGGGCCTACTAATTGACTCCTTGGTGGATGAGCACTTGCAGAAAACAAAGCTACAGTGGACATAACATGTCACCAGCTGCTATGGGTTAAGAAGAATCGCAATCCTAAGGTAACTTTTGTAATTTGGAACTGCATCTTTCAGTGTGCCTCCCCAAATACAAAGATTGGTAGATCCAGGGACCTTGCTTCTGTTCTTGGAAAGCACATAATTTGCATGTGAACTACAAATTACAAAGTCCTACTGTCAAGCTAAAGTAATGTTATAAAGTTCAAGTTTCCCCACCAGAGAAAAGAGATCCTTATACTGCTTGTCATCCACTTAAAGTTGCATATGAATGTTGGTTTCAGCAATAAACATGTTCCTTCATCATAATGTTGGGTGTTTGGAGATTTATATTTTCATATATCACTGATATTAATTATAAGTTACCTACTAAAAAAAGAACTTTCTTTTAAAGCTGTGAAAATCCTATAAACATAATTTAAAGAAGCATAAATAAAACAGAGGATATAAAAACAATACTGTTGTAATATAAATACTCACATCAACAATTTCAACATTATAGTCATTGCAAAAGAAGTACTTCTTGCCTGCTTCAGTACAAAGTCTTTGGGCCATCTCATGGCAAAACTGCTCAACATCTAGGCTGACCTGTTTCACTAGCACACCAGGCACCATCTGCATCAAACAGAAATAACATTCCTGTTATACCTTTGTGTCTGTTAGAAAACCTTATAAATAGAGACAGATATAATATGTGTAATCAGACAAACTACTTGATTAAACCAGTAATATAACCAAAATTGTCAGTGATGTTATCAAAACCTAAAGACTCGAGCTTATTCAACTTTTAAAAACTAAATTCTAATGTTAACTTCTATTCATCATCATTCTGAAAAAAGAGCTTACCAGTTTCTCAGCTTTGGTATTAGATATCATATGCATCTGTGTGTATCCTGATCCATGGACTTCCAGAGGTAGTGCATTGTGATAACCAGTGGCTGTTCCTAACT